AACAGTTGACACTAAGCAGTGTAAGCGCACTGTCCTGCCATTCTTTTCTAAATTCCAACCCTTCTCTGTGTGAGTACACAGACACATAACATGGGCAGCAATTTCACTGCCACATTCGAATCAAGTTCAATCAACAGAAAAGTCGACCTGCTCTCAGGACACAGCATCTCACCCGATTCAGCCACTATGTAATATATTACAGGCCAGATGCGTTGCATGACTCCATTACGTGATTTGAACGAGTAATGTGCAGTGTCACTCACATCTATGGTTGACGGGCCTCGAGCGTCGAGTTGTGAGAAAACATAAAACATACATACAGGCTGACACAGCATGACAAGGGGTCGTTATTTTCTGGGAAGAATACCACGCTGCATTTGGGTAAGAGAACACTGATAGAATCCACGCTTTACCTGAGCAAACTCAGACGACTCGATCAGTGGGTAGACGACAAATGCACGACCCCCATTTTTCACTTCGTCACGGACTATCTGCAGAACAAGAGAGGAAAACCAACAAATGAGATGAAACTGCGGCAAACAAAAAAACAGTGGGTCACATTCAGACAAGGATGTAATACGTAGACCGCAGAGCGGGAAAGGGAAAACCAACAGATGATATGAAACTGCGGCAAAACAAAACAGTCGGTCGCATACAGACAAGGATGTAGTATTATTGTAGAGCTTTTCGATAGCTTTTATATCAGTAGCCTGGTAGGCTGAATTGGTGGCGCCACTGCTCCCACCCATTTCAGAAAATTTGACATCTGAAGCAAATAAATTGGGGGGACAGAAAAACACCCATCACACACTAGACAGGCATTCTCACACCTGCACTGAACGAAATGTGCAATCACACACCTAACAGCAGAACACCCGAGCCACTATAACCATGGATAAGTGTTAAACATCATAGGCTATTAGGCTCCTGCAGCATGCCCTGCTCCTGCTCCTGCTCCTGCTCACACGATGGTTGCATCGCATAAGAACTAACACGCATGGTCAAAACTTCCCTGGGAAGAACACGCCATGCATCAGTGTCGCACAGCCAACCTTGGCAGCTACTGGACCAATTGGAGCCAACCTGCCGACAGCACCTGTAAGCTATGGGTTGTCTGCGAGGCCAGTCAGCTTCACATTGGTACTGGAGCTCTTCTTCTTCTTCTTCTTTCTTCTTCTTCTTCTTCTTCTTCTCTGCAAGTAGACACTGAAGAAGAAACTCGAGTCACAAGCACATTGAGGCCTCATAGACCAGCAATCACTGGCTTGTTACAATAATTGAGCTCATTGAGGTCTCATAGACCAGCATTGACCTGAAGATACACACTCGAGTGACTTTGACCAATGCAACAACATTATCTGCAATCTATGAGACTGCGAGCCGAAAGACGGTAACGCTTCCGCACATGAAAATACCACGCAGGGAGAGGAGGGGGGGGGGGGCAGGGGGGCGGGGGGGGCAGATATGCATTGAAGCTTACTGTCCACGTATACGCCCGCCGCCTGCTTGAGACGTGGACAGTAACGTATGGCCCGGAATGGGACCGGCTTCACGTATCAAGTCCGTTATCCTAACCTGAGCACATCCTCACCTTATAGGCCTTGCCTCGCTCTTCAGGTCTATCTTCCAGAACATATGTCTTCACAGCAGATCGTCCCGGTGGTCTTTCATCAATCTGCGAATCACACCCATTTGTCCACAGGTCAGAAAATGACATAAGATCATAGGAGGAATCCAATCCTTTTCTCAAAGCTAAGGAGTTTTTCAAGGCGCCCGGACACCCAACTTATTGCCCAGGTACAAGCCCGGGTGCCCGGCCGGGCATGACCCCCGGGCAGGGTTCCGTGGAGGCCCAGCGCCCCCCCCCCCCCCCAAAAAAAAAAAAAAAAAAAAAAAAAAAGGGGAAAAAAAAAAGTTGTGTAGAATTGCAATACAAACGACTTCTGGCTGAGGGTCACATTAGAATTCCTCAGAGAATCGGAGATAAAAAAGAAAAAATCCGAATCACACTAAGGCACCCCCCTACCACCAGTACACCCGGGCCTGCAGGTGCCTTATTGCGCGCCAAGCTTTTTCCAACCGCCAGTGGTGCACTTGTTTTCTTGTTTGGCTGGCACCACCAGCCATTGTGGTCCGGTAGGCCGAGCCTCCAAAATTCTCGTAGGTGACGAGTTTCTTTTTCAGCTAGGCTGGGGCTCTGTACTGGCGGCTTAAAACCCTTCAGCCCCTTTAAAACCATTTATACTGCGAGGGTTTGAGCCCCCGGCAGTGCTGGAAAGGTAAGTGAAGGCGGGCCTGCCAATATGTGCCAAAGCCTGGGTACAGGCCAGTGTGATCATGCTAAAGGGCCGTTGGAATCTATATGCGGGCATGAATCTTTGCAGTAGCCCTTCTAGGGCTCACCCCACATCTCGGCTGAGGCCCCGTACAGACTTGTGCCCTCCTTAAGGGAAGGCGGGCTGGAATATTTACGAGAGGCCTATTTTTGTCAAATTCTGCACGTGGGGTATCAGACAGTTGCAGCAGGCCAGTTGGTTACAGGGTAACGTGAGCCTTTCCCTGGCCTCTTCAGGAAACAGCAGCTCGACAGGCAGTTGAGCCCAGGGCGCGTACAGTTTGAGGCCCTGGGCGTGAGCCACCAGAAGCCGACACATCACAGAACAGCCGCGGGCCAATGAGAATGCAGCATCTTCATCACACACGGCCAGCAGCTAATGAGATTGCGCCGAACACTTATAGCCTTGTGGGCTACCTGGGCATGCCCAACTGTAAAGGGCCCAGGCTCGTAACAGCAGCTGGAGGCCTGGGCGCAGACACTGGGCCCCCCACTGGAAGCTACTGGAAACTCGTCCAGCCAGCCCAGAGCTCGACAAAGCGGAGCTCCCTTTCCATAAAGGATAGTGAGCAAAGAAGCCAGAGCTCATTCTGGCCTTGTGCTTGCTAGCGGCAGAGCTTCTGGTTTGAGCGCTGAGGGCCGCTGGTAGGCCAGGGGCTGGAGAGGCGCACACGGGCGCATTGTGGTGTTGGGCGCTGCTGGTGCAGCGGGCGCTGAGCAGCCATAGCCGGGCTTGCTCAGAGGAGGCTGGTGACATGGTGATGGTGGTCTTTGGGTGTCGGGGATGCACACTGTGGGAAGTCAAGGGGTGATGCGAGAGGAGAGAGAGACACGTACCTGGTGTATGCTGGCAGTCTGCATCAGCGACGTCGTCACGCACATTGGTCTTCAGCAACGACGTGACTCCTTTGCATGAACGTAGTGTAGGCTAGTGTAGGTGCTAAGTAGATAGGCTGGGCACTGAGCGCCAATAGAGAAGAGGGGCATTCGATACTGTGTTGGTGCGGACAGAGAGTGTCGACATTGACATTTCAGTTCATTGTTTTGCTCTTATTTGGTTGATAACCCGGTGCATTGTGCTATCTGCTTGGTACACGACTATTTTGGCTAGCTGTTTTATAGTTTTTTGAAGTTTTTTTTTCTTTTTTTTCTTGCAACTAAACTTGTGCAGAGAGGAAACACCGCAAAGTGATAACATGTTGTGACCAAGGCTGGGCCAGCAACCGGCCGGATCACCTGCCCCAGTCCAACCGGGGCGGACCGGTCCAGGGGGGGTGAACCGGCAGAACCGGATGCCCCCAAAAAATGCCCAATTTTTTTTATTTTTATTTTTGTGATTGCGGCGTCCGACTGTGCTCTTTGAGATCTGTCGGAATCCGCAATAAAACTTGACAGTCAGGAATTTCTTTTTGGGTGGTGGGGGGGGGGGTT